TTATAATATTATTAGATCTTTACGTATCTATACTATATTATAAAATATTTGACAAAAACTCTTAAAAACCATTTTTTATGAATAAAATACTATTTATTGATGCATATTACTTAAAATTTTAGATTACAAGTAATTTTTGCGCAAGTACAACTTATTAAAACTTTATTTTTAAATTCGTGCAACTATCTGCTGATATACATAATCAAATACATAATAACATCCATTTTTAAATATATAAATCTAAAATAATATTAAGATAATCATTGAGTTCTAACATAATGTTTAATTATTCTGTGTAAAAAATTATATTATTAAACCAAAAATAATCTATCTATACTATATTATAATGCATTTGACAAAAACTCTTAAAAATCATATTTTATGCATGAAGTACTGTTTATTGATGTATATTATTTAAAATTTTAATATTACAAGCAAATTGTGCATAAATACAACTTACTAAAACTCCATATTTGAATTCATGTAACTAACTGCGGATAAACGTAATCAAATAGAGGATAAATATATTATTTTTAAAATATAAAATATAATTAGGATAATTATCTAGTTCTAACAAAATAATTAGTTATTATCTTTAAAAAATATATTATTAAACTAAATATAAATTACTTTGTTATTGAACCTAAACTAAATTATAGTAAAAAAATTGAATTAAAAAATTACACAAAAAATGAGAAATTTTAAATAGTTAATTTGATACTAATATCTATGTATTTTTGTCAAATTTTTGTGATATCTTCAAATTTATATTTTATTTAAAAATAAAAACATTGTCGTTTTTTCAAAATCATATAAGACCATATTATAACATCGACTGAGATAAAAAATAAAACAAAATATTAAAATCAATATGTATCTCGCAGTATTGCGCGAATACCTTTCTAGTTATAAAAAGATTTATTCTACAATTATCTTGATAGATTAAAACATGGGGAAACCGTGACATAAAAATCGTTTTCCACCTATTGATCTATAAGGCAAGCAAACCGTGATATATAGCATTTTTTTGGGTTGAAGTGATGAAAATAACCAATTTTAAAAGTTCGATGATTTATTTATTAAAAAATATATGTAAGTATGATTTTTTTTTGTAAATAACTATGACTCTGTGAGGTGCATGGTATTAATTATTTTATTTTATTCATAACTTTTTAATTACATCATTTTAAAAATATTAAAATAACCCAAGAAATTTGAAATACTACTTTTTTATAAATATCTCATTCATTTTTCAAATTATTATACTTTTAGCGTCGTTTTGGGTCTAATATTGCACTTAGTCAAAATAATTTAAAATTCATCAAACCTTGTATGGTTTACATAAATTAATGATTGAGGTCTTTAAAACTTACACATTTTAATTAACGGTGTAATTAACAGGGATATCCTTAAATAAAAAATAAAATCAATGCATTGTAAATATCTTTTCTTATCAAATAAATATTTACTCATAAAAATAACTTTTAAACTATACAATTTTACAAATATCAAATAAGTAAGAAAATTATAATACTAATGCTTATATTATAATAATAATAATAATAATAAGTATGAATATATAATTAATATATAGTAATAATATGTAATGTGTGTGGATTGAATATATATGTATATATATATAGAGAGAGAGAGAGAGAGGGAGAGTTTGTTTCTAATACAACTCATCATATTTGTATAATTAATGCAACCTAATATATTGAGATATTTATAGAAATGATTAGAGTTCATTTATTATGATTTAAATATTTATGGAAGACGAATATGGTTCATTAATTGTAATCAACATTTTTTATTAGGAAACAATAAAAACTTCTATCAAATCACATATTAATCAAATGAAATGGACGGTTGAGATTGGGTTGTATTGGTTGTACAAATATCAATTGTTGTATAATAACCAACATCTATATATATATATATATATATATATATATATATACTTAAAATTTATATGTATAAAATAGTTATATAATATAATTTAAAATAAAAATATATAAGATATAATAATACACACACACATATATATATATATATATTTAATATTTAAAATAAAAATAATAAATGATCAAATATATAATATATAATATTAATTGATTGATTTTGACATGTTTTTAATGAGGATTCAACTTCTAAAACATTTAACGCCGCTATTTAGGGGGTGTCATTAATATTCCCCTTATAAAACCGATCCAATTCATTTATTCATCATTCATTTTTTATTTATTTTTTTTGGTTTTTTTAAATTACTAGTAGTTATAACCGATTAAAATTTTGTGACTTTGTTCCCGTAATCTCGATTTATGGGTTTTGGCCCCTTCTATTTAAACTCTAATATGAGCTTTTCATTTATGGGTTCTATTCATATATCCGGAGAGAAGGAGAGCTAAGATGAAAATAAGAGATTTCATCTTTGAATGTACATTAGGTTAAGATGTACCGGGATGAGATGTCCTGAATGTTGGATCAATCCCCCATACGGCTGGGTTTGAGATTATAGGCATCAAGGTCTAGGTACTTCTTACGCTTATTACTTTAACTCTCATTCTCTCACTATGATTGTTCGGGCGTGCTCTTCATAGATGGTCCAGGTGGAACTGAAAAAACATTTTTGTACAAAGCATTACTTGCCAAGATTGTTCTCATAGTCTTATTGCACTCACCACCGGTTCTTCAGGTGCTGCAGCTAATAATATGGTTGGGGGGAGAACAACTCACTCTCAATTTAAGATTTCCTACAATCTTGATGGCAACTCAATGTGCAACATACAAAACAAAGCAAGGTTGTTGCTCAATTGCTATGGGATGCAAAAATAATCATTTGGGATGAAACAACGATGGCTAAGAGGCAGGCGATGGAGGTGCTTCATCGAACAATGCAAAGACATCACAAGGGTGACATTCACATTCGGTGGAAAGATAATGGTTATGAGAGGTGATTTTAGACAGGTCTTACCGATCGTGAGACATAAACCCAAGCACATATTGTAGATTCAAGCCTACGAATGTCATCTCTTTGGTCTTGATTAAAAAGGTATGGATAACTATCAATATGAGAGCACAAACTCATCTATAGTTTTCAGATTTTCTATTACAAATGAGTGATGGAGATGAAAAAAGCTTTATATGCATACCTGATGACATGGGCATTGCCTATACTGATAAAGATAAACTGAAGAATGATTTGATTGACGCAATATTTCCATCTCTACACAAATGATCCGATCAAGTTATATCATTTCGAGGGAAATATTATCAACAAAAAATAAGAATATCGATGAGATTAATGATCAGTTGATTGATAGATTATGCGGAGATGGAAATGTTTACTACTATTTTGATGAAACAGAAGATGACAGTAATAAATTTTATCTAATCGAGTTCTTAAACTCGCTAACTGTTGATGGTTTTTCCCCTCATTACCTCTGGCTCAAAATTGGATGCCTAATAATACTATTATGGAATGTCGATCCTCTAACGGCTTATGGAATGACACCAGATTGATATGTAGAGGTTTTCAGAAGAATGTAATTGGTGCAAAAATAGTTATTGGTCAACATGTTGGAAAGAGTTCATTTTTTTTGCCGAGAATTCATCTTTGTCCATCTGAAGATAACATGTTCCCTTTTAAATTAAAGAGAACAGTTTCTAGTCTGACTTAGTTTTTCTATGACAATGAATAAAGCTCAAGGATAGACTATTCCTACTATAGGTGTGTATTTACCGAAATCAGTACAATCTCATGATCAACTTTATGTAGTGTTGTCAAGAGGGATATCACGTGAAAATAA